GGCTAACTGTTTGGCAGAGAGGCCTAGTTTTTTTCCTATCTCGGCTCTCAATATGCCTTCCTCACTATGCTTCCTCATTTCTAGCTTTTTATTTAAAGAGACATGTGACTCCTCCTTTCCCTTCAACACTTAGAGGCCACTGTAGGGTTGCCAATTGGCCTAATTTCAATATAGTTGTGTCTCAGGGAATAGGAAGGCCTGGGCGGTGGGGTGAGAGAGAGAGAAGGAGAGAGAGAAGAAGGAGGAGGAGGAGGAGGAGGGAGAGGGGGAGGGGGAGGACGAGGAGAAGAAAGAAGAAGAAGAAGAAGAAGGATAAGAAGAAGGAGAAGGGCTTCCCTGGTGGTGCAGTGGTTGAGAGTCCGCCTGCCGATGCAGGGGACGCGGGTTCGTGCCCCGGTCCAAGAAGATCCCACATGTCGCGGAGCGGCTGTGCCCGTGAGCCATGGCCGCTGAGCCTGCGCGTCTGGAGCCTGTGCTCCGCAACGGGAGAGGCCACAACAGTGAGAGGCCCACGTACCGCAAAAAAAAAAGAAGAAGAAGAAGAAGGAGAAGAAGGAGAAAAAGAAGAAGGAGAAGAAGAGGAAGAGGAAGGAGAAGGAGAAGGAGAAGAGAAGAAAGGGAGAGATATGGGGGAACAGCCAGTCGGTGGAGCAGTCAAAACACACTCAGCATTTATTGACTAGGTTTGCTGTCTTAGGTGAGTGTGGTGCTCCCTTCCGTCTCTCTGCTCCTCTCTCCTCTCTCTTGGCTGTACTCTCAGGCAGCCTCTCCCCACCCAACATCAGATGGCTGCCCAACAGCTAGAGGTGGATATGGTCCTCAGTGCCTGCTTCTTCCCTTCCACCCCAGTGAAATCCCAACCTGACCCATCCACTGTGGTTAGTGTGGTGGTATCTCTAAGTGGCCATGGTCCTGGGTCCACTGCTCACCCCTGGTGGACAGAACCTCACGTTGGCAAGTAATGGAATGGTTCTTCGGAGGAAAACTGCAATGCTGTCATCAAGAGCAGGAGGGCAGGGTACTGGCTGGGCAAACATACGATGTCCACATTGGGTACATACAGAGCAGGATGGGGATGAGGGTCAGGGCGATGTTGAATAACTGCAGAGGCTGGGATTTTGGATTCTGGTGGTCGCTGAGGAAAACAAGGATATGAGGCATGATGAGGTTGGCACCGATAACTCTTAGAGGAAGTGGGCAATCTTCATGTTCGTCCTGAATACCCAGAGCACCAGAATGGGGCCTTGGCCATGGCGCCATCTAGTGCTGTGTCACGGCGTAGCGGGGGAAGCCAAGGCACAAGATGGTTTCCCCGTGATGGCTCACTCCTTCAGCACCATATAGTTTGTGGTCTAGGAGACGCAAGGGGTCATTTGCAAACGTCTGAAGGATGTGGGGAAGTTTGGGGAGAAAAGGGACCATGTGATTGACAGAAGCTCTTGGCAGTTTGAAGAACCGACCTCTGGAAGAGGGAGGAAACGTAATCTACGTGGCTCCAGAGCAGAATCAGCACCAATGTGTAAAAGCTGGAGGAAAGTTCTGAGCTAATAATTACAAGTAGAACTGTCTAATGAAGAAGTGGCTTTATAAAAGACACATGCACCCCAATGTTTGTTGCAGCACTATTTACAATAGCCAGGTCACAGAAGCAACCTAAACGCCCATCAACAGACAAACGGATAAAGAAGTTGTGGTACATATATACCACGGAATATTACTCAGCCATAAAAAGGAACAAAACTGGGTCATTTGTAGAGATGTGGATGGACCTAGAGACTGTCCTACAGAGTGAAGTTAAGTCAGAAAGAGAAAAACAAATATCGTATATTAATACATATATGTGGAATCTAGAAAAATGGTACAGACGAACTGGTTTGCAAGGCAGAAATAGAGACACAGGTGTAGAGAACAAACGTATGGACACCAAGGAGGGAAAGTGCGGCGGGGTGTGTGTGGAGGTGGGATAATTGGGAGATTGGGATTGACATATATACACTAATATGTATAAAATAGATAACTAACAAGAACCTGCTGTATAAAAAATAAATTAAATTAAATTTTTTTTTAAAAAGTTGTTTTCTTCCAAGGCAGTGAGTTCCCTGTCCCTAAGAGTGTTTAAGCGGTGATTTGAATACTTCTAGTCAGAGGTATTGTATAAGGCCTCCTATTTTGGAGATCTAGCCAGAACATTTTTAAGGTAGCTTCCAGATTTAAACTCTATGACTTGATTCATACTCGGAAGGAGGAAGAAATCATCAGCTAAATAATACAGTGGCTAAATGTTGCCTCTGATACCCTGTCACTTCCCTTTTCTTACTCCTTTTTTCTGTCTCCAGGCACCTCCATCCCATCCCCAGGAACCTGCCTCTCTCATGATACCTCCTGGATTCCCAGGCAGGTCTGCCTTCTAGACATAATGTCCCTGCTGCAAAATGAGGCCTCTTCTTTCCCAGCAAAATATCCGGGATCTGACAAACAGCCTACTATTGACAAACAATGCAGATGTAAACTAGCATGAACGTCAGAATTTGAGAAACTGAGCCCTGTTGGAGGAACTACAAATTTAATTATAGCTAGTCTGTATAATACATTTGGAATCATTTTTCATTTATTAGTTTCTGTGTTCTCTCTTAAATGTGTTTTGGTTAACCTTGTCTCCTTTAATCAGATTGCTAGGATCTGCAGGCGGGAGTTTTGCGATATAACCTTCTGAACCCTGGACAAAACTTCATATTTCAGTAATAGGAGGTTCGTGGAGTAAAATCAAGGTCAGTAAACCCTAATCATGAGCTAGTTTTTTCACTTGCTCACAACGCCTACTGTCTACACCCCAGGCACTGAGATAGCTGAGGGGGTCTTAAGGTGAGTGGGGTTGGCCCCCTGCAAAGTGCCTACTAAGCATTGGGCGCTGTGCTAGACACACTGCATCCTCGTTGCATTTGACTCGTAGACACCCCCATCAGGCAGGGATGGCTATTTTCCTTTTACATGTAAGAAAACAGGCCCAGAAAGGACTGTCCAGAAAATGAGAGCCAAAACTTAAACCCAAGTCACTCTGGCTCAGTGTTGCCCATAAACAAATAAAATATGATTACTAAACAAATAGGTTTTCAATTTTCATTTTTCTCTCTGGAGCCCCAGGAACAAAAAGACCATTTTTTAATCTATGATGGGATCCACAGAATAGAGCAAAAACTGCCTAGGTTAGTCCTGGGGGATACTAAAGTGAAATTCAGCGATGCAGGGACAGGAGTGGCTGTGTCTTACCAGGTGGATCTCCGTGAGCGACCCTTTGCAGCCCAGGGATCACCCAGCTCCTCAGAGGAGCCTCAGACCCACCCGGTTCCGGCCCCTCTTCCCGCGCGGCGGCGGTGAGCCACAGCTCGGGCGCCATCTAGTGGTGAGTCGGAAGCCTCACTCTAGGGCTCCGAAAAGGCTCTGGGACCAACATAGCTTTAGGATCCCTGTAGAGCTCAGATTCCGAGTTCGCTCTAACAGGTGGGTCCAGAACCACCGTAGCATCCCCAAAGGAATTCATTTGCTGCCCGCTTGCCATCAGATGCATATCCCTGAACTCAGAGCCCTCTCTCAGCTCACACCTTCACCTTCCAGGCTTTCTGGAACGAAACTGGAACGCCCTTCTACACCCTCCCTTGTATTTCCATTCATGTTAGTTACAAATGGAGAAAAAAAAAACCTCAGCTAATCCAGTCTTTCAGCTACACACACGCACACCCCACCTGTTGGCAGGGTCATTCATCAGAGAGCCTCTCCAGGGGAACTTTTCCTAAACACAAGATCCAGGTGGAGAGAATGCAGCAGCTTGGGAAGGCAAAAGGATGACGACCACCAAGGAAGAAAATGCTGTTTTTGCGAAAGGAATCCCCATAAACAGAGCTTTGAAAACAGGGGCATCCTCAGCAGGCTCTCAAGGCACTGGGCCACCTTCAGGGTCTCCCTCATGCTCCCCTGCCCCTTCACTTTGACTGGTATCCCACCCCTCAGCCCCAGCCCCCCCCCCCCCACCCCAACAGGACAGGCAGTTGTGCAGAGCCTGGATCTGGACAGGAAGGGAGACTGGCGGTTTCAGTGGTCCAGAGATGCGGGCTTAACCCTGGTGTCGGAGGTGAGGGAGAGGCATCCCAGAGGATTTTCTCTGAGTACCACTGAGTGATGAAGAGTTCTCCGAGCTCATACTCTTGTACTTGATTCACCCAATTTAATCATTCATTATACAAGTGAATGAATAATGTATATGAGCATATGTAATGTGTATGTATTCTGAATTCATATTCAGAATAACGAATATGTTCTGTGAATGCATATATTTTTAATTTAAAAATATATGTCTATTTTAGATCTCGTGGTCAGCAGAATCATCCCTCCCTCCCAAAATGTCCACCTCTTAATCCCCCAAACCTGTGAATACGTTACCTTTCATCCTTGCATGGCCAAAGAGACTTTACAGATGTGATTAAGGTTAAGGACCTTGGGACTGGGGCGATTCTCCTGGATTATCCAGGCAGGCCCAATCTAATCACATTAGCTCTTTAAAAGCAGAATGATAACCTGGAAATAATTTTGCCAGTGACATAAGTGTCACAATGGGGATAAGAGTCAAATTTACAGAAAGTGGCTTGTAGCAGAATAAAATCACTATCAACTCTTAAAAGAAAAATAAAAAGCAGAGAACCTTTCCAGCCAACGGTCAGAGAGAGAGAGATGACAACGGGAGAAGGACCTGAGAGAGATGTGATGTTGCTGGCTTTAGAGATGGAGAAAGGAGGCCATGCCCGAACCAAGGAATGTGGGCAACCTGTAGAAGATGGCAAAGGCGAGGAAAAGGATTTTCCCGTAGAGTCTCCAGACAAGGAGGCAGCCCTGTGGATTTTAGCCCAGCAAGGACCATGTCAGACTTCTGCAGAGCTGTAAGATAATTTGCAGTGTTTTAAGCCACTAAATTTATGGGGACTTGTTAGAGGAGAAAGAAAAGCTCATACAGGCCTTTTTTGGGTTTTGAGATCTCAAAGTCTCACTCCGCGTCAAAGCAAGGGCCACCCGGAGCTGTGTTGCCTTTAGAGACTTTTGTTTCAGGACCTGTGGGAAAAGCACCATGTCTATTAATAATCTATTTTATTACTCAGAAGCCGAAAGATCTACTCTGTCCCACCAAGTGAGCCTCCGATGAACGTCTTCAGACTCCTCAGCAGAGCTCTGAATTAAGGGGCTCTTGGGGATAGCTTCCATGCCTCTCATCATTGACTAGGACACACTCTGGAAATAGATACATGAGTACACACTGTTGAGAGGGCACAAATGGATTGTCTCTACCAGGAAGCATGGTCCCCTTAAGAAATTACTCATTGAATCATGAAGTTATCCAAACCTCCGTAATGCAATCATACTCTTCTTGGGAATTTTTTATTTGAAACTAATTCCAAAGAAGTTCAATAAAATATGCATGAAATTTTTTACAATACAATTGTAACAGTAAAAACAACAACGACAAAGCAAAGAGTCAAAATTCTAATGGAAGGAAACCTTGAGTACATTACTATTCCATGCTATTAGGCAACCATTAAAATTACAATGATTCATACTATGGAAAATAGGGAAATATTCTTATTATGCTAAATGGAAGCAGCATATTATAGAATGGTGTTCATTCAATAATCCTTTATTGACCACATGCTATGTGTACCAAGCACCAAGTAATTAATGGGAGCCACAGTAGATGTACACTCACTGCTTTTATGGACCGAGGTGTGCCATGACTGCAAAAATGTAAAATGATCTATACACACGGAAGGAGATGTACCCAAAAATGAAGCAATGGTAGGGTGTGGTAAATATCCTCCTTAACCTTCTTAAAGTATGTCTTCAATTATAATCATTATATTAAAGGATAGGCCAGGAAGAAACATAAACCTCTAGACCTAAGTCCCGAAGCAGAGTAAGAATTGCAGCAGGCTCCTTGTTGAGGAAGCAGGGTTGGAATATACTGTTTAGAAACATAACAAGCAACAGCCTGGCAGGTCAGGAGGCCAGGCTCTTCCCCAGCAGGGGAGTAGGAATCCAGCTGTACACACAGGTCCTTTACAGTGAGGTTGGTTCCCAGGGGGCCACATTTGAGCCTGACCTGACACCCTCTGTGTATCTGGGAAATTTTCACTGCACTAGGCTGGGCCCTGAGGGTTGGCGACACCTGTCTCTACCTGTCTCCCCAGCCTCTGAAAGGTTAACTGGGGAAGCAGATGCCGCATTACTCATCATTTTTATGCCACCATCTGTGTCGGGCAAGCCACATCCCCTGGGCCTGCCTCGGTTTCCCTGTGTGAACGAGGAAAGTCAGGGCTTGTTAATTTCTAAAGCGCCTCCTAAAGGCTGCAGCCGTGGGAGCTGTGCCGGACTCTAGGCCGAGCGAGCTAAGTCCTAAGAAGGCACAGCCCCGACCACTAGTTTCCTATCCAAAAACACTTTTATGATGGTACCGATATGAAGAAAATTATGACGACTGAACAACTACTGAGCACGTGACAACAGTGAAGGTGAGACTAATTATCAATGAACATTAATTGTCCAACATGTATGCGCAGGGTAGGGTGTGGTTAGGAGAGGCATTTATAGAGATCTCATTTCTCTCTCGATTTACCTTCTCCTACCAAACAAGAAGTTCCTTTATAAAGCATTAACAGCTGACTTTTATCAACTCTTATTACATGCCAGGCCCGTGCTTAGCCCTTCATCTGGATTATTTCATTTAATCCTCACAACGACTCAAATTAAGTGGGAATATGATCTCCATTTTGCCTTTGAGAAAAGAGGAGCTTAAGCAAGTGGATGACTTGTCCAAGGTCTCATAACCTGTAAGTGGTCCAGGACTTGGAAATCCTGGTTGAGCCTTCTCACCTGTGGATTATCACTGCCATTGGAATCTTGTGTCTGACTAATTCTACTCATTCTTCCAAATCCAGCCAATAAAACAGCCTTCTCTGGCCTCCCCACTGTGCCACCTCCAACCAATCTCCCAACCTCCTGGGCTTTGTGGCTCTACGGGCTGTGGGTGCTGCCCACCTGATGTCCCTGACTTCTGTTTCCTCCTCTCAAGCTCTCAGTTTGAATGCACTTCCGTTCTACTCCTTCTCTTCTTCACTTTACCCTGTCTGACCCTCTACTAGGATGTTATACTATATCTTGGGATATAGGATGCAAACTTGAGCATGTATCGAAATCACATGGAGGGCTTATTACAACACAGATTACTGGGCCTCAGCCCCAGAGTTTCTGATGCAGTGAGCCTGGGTGGGACAGAGAGTTTGCATTTCTCCCAAGATTCCAGATGCAGCTGATGTTGTTGGTCCTGGCATCACGCTTTGATCATCCTTGCTCTGGGGAGCCTGCATTCCACTATATTTCCCTGTGTTGCTGAACTTTTTTTTTTTTTTAATACATTTATTTATTTTATTTATTTATTTTTGGCTACGTTGCGTCTTCGTTGCTGCGCACGGGCTTTCTCTAGTTGCAGCGAGCGGGGGCTACTCTCCGTTGAGGTGCGTGGGCTTCTCACTGCGGTGGCTTCTCTCGCTTTGGAGCACGGGCTCTAAGCGCGTGGGCTTCAGGAGTTGTGGCTCTCGGGCTCTAGAGCGCAGGCTCAGTAGTGGTGGCGCACGGGCTTAGTTGGGCACGTGGGATCTTCCCGGACCAGGGCTCGAACCCGCATCCCCTACACTGGCAGGCGGATTCTTAACCACTGCGCCACCAGGGAAGTCCCTGAACGTCTCCTTAAACAAACTCTTCCCAATGTCTTACATAAGGAAACCTGGCTTTCTGTGGAAGGCCCTCTACCCAGGTTTTGTTTTTTTTTTCCTAGATCCCTGATCACAAGACAAGGAAGCGTGGTTCTCACTGGCACTTCTAACACCCTCATCTCACAATTTCTTTATTCTTCCAACTCCGATAGCCATTTCCACACCAAACACCCAAGGCAAGCATGGCTGTGTCTCCAGCTCCACCTCTCTGCCAGCCCACGCCTGCCCATCACAAACAAGAAGGGGATTTTCAGCCACCAGTCCAGGCAGCCCCACCAAGTCTGTTTGCACCTTCCCTTCTTCTGGGCTGCTGGAGACAGTCACAGAACTGGGATTGGGCCCATTATGTATTCAAGCCTCCTGACCTCAGATGGAACCCCACAACTGCTCACTTTATCTTTATAATCATCGCCAGCTGACTCACCTGTCTCATCCCCGCCGCTGGCTCCTATTTTAACCCTGGCCAGTCCCCACCAGCCTTTACCTGGTCCACACCTTCCTCTCTCTCTCGCCACCAAAATGGTGGACCAAATGGAGATCAGCTATGAGCTACCTCAGCGTCCCTCTGATTTACTCCACATTAGCTCTGCCTCTTCACTCATCCTGCCCTCCTTCCCTTCTATTTCAAAACAAGAGGAGTTTTCAAAACCACAGTGACATACCACCACACACCCATCAAGATGGCTACTATCAAAACAGAACCAAAAACCCAGAAAATAACAAGTGTTGTTGAAGGTTTGGAGAAAATGGAACCTTTGTGCATCGTTGACGGGAACGCGATATGGTGCCGCCCTTATAAAAAACCAGTGTGGTGGTTCCTCAAAACGTTAAAAATAGAGCTACTGTATGATGCAGCAATCCAACTTCTGAGCATATACCCCACAGAACTGAAAGCAGAGCCTCAAAGAGATATCTGTACACTTAGGCCCATTGCAGCATTATTCCCGGTAGCTAAAACGTGGAAGCAACCCAAGTATCCATCAGCAGATGAATGCATAAACAAAATGTGGTATGTACAAACAGGGGAATATTGTTCAGCCTTAAAAAGGAAGGAAATTGTGACACATGCTACAATGTGGATGAACCTTGAAGACACTATGCTAAGTGAAAAAAAGCCAGTCACAAAAGATAAAATACTGTATGATTCCACTTATAGGTGGTATTTAGAGTGGTCACATTCACAGAAACAGAAAGTAGAAGGCTGGTTGAAGGAGGCTGAGGGGAGGGGAAATGGGCGATGGGTACAAAGCTTCAGTTTTGCAAAAAGAAAAAGTTCTGGAGATTGACGGTACAACAATGTGAAGACATTTAGCACGTTTGAACTATACACTTCAAAATGGTTAAGATGGTAAATTTTACGTTTATGTCTACTTTTCCACAATAAAAAAAAAAAAGTCTCGGCAAGGATATACAATGGAGAAAAGACAGTCTCTTCAATAAGTGGTGCTGGGAAAACTGGACAGCTACATGTAAAAGAATGAAATTAGAACACTCCCTCACACCGTACACAAAAATAAACTCAAAATGGATTAGAGACATAAATGTAAGACCGGACACTATAAAACTCTTAGAGGAAAACATAGGAAGAACACTCTTTGACATAAATCTCAGCA